AATAATAATAATACTAATAATAATAATAATCATTCCAGCATTAATTTTGAAAAAATATGACATGATCATCCAACTGACCAAATACACAAAGAGCTCCGTTTGATTGTTGAAATACTTAAAGCTTCTGAGTGACAAAACACATAAATGCAAATGATTGAGCCAATCGTTTATTGCAGTTTACAGCAATATGCATATTGCACAGGGTGTTATTGTGATGACAATAAATTTTCTATATATTCTGCAGCCCTATTGACGAGTGCCATTTTGTGCCATATAGTGCTAACAGACTAAAAATCAAGCTTGACTAATATTTTTTGTTACTACATTCGGCTATCACAGCCTTTTCCTAATTTAGAGGATCCTTTTACCTTAGGTTCTTTTTGTAAAGCTCTCTGCATTAGCGATTAGCCTAGCCTGGACAAAGACTTTTGCCTCTTTTGCAACAATCTGTGATAATGTTCTAACAAAAACAGAACATAAATCAAACTGGATATTATCATTAATGTTCGACCTATCTATTCCAGCTGTTTTTGTCAGTAAACAAACGTGGTATAGTTGTCACTCACATTTTTTTATTTTGTGCAGATTAATTTTATGACTTTTTGATTTTTTTGTTCTTTGTTGCAATGAGTACTTCTAAAAGACATTTGCTGAAACAGAGTATGATCGGTCACACCAGTGCGAGTCAAGAACCAGGAAACAAATGCTAGACTTTATTGTTAAATGCAAGAAATAAAGCCATACAGGCACGGCTGGACCAAAAATACAGACTGTTTATTGTCCTCACTTTTCGTAAAGAATCAAAGATCACTGTGCCCTATAAACATTTTCTTGGTGAACCCAGCCCCTCCATTGGGCAGTAYTGTCAGATCCGGGGTGGTACTTCCTATCAAGAGACCAGGTTCTGTAACAGAAGTTCTGATTGCTAATAAGAACAATAATTAAATTTTGTGAGTGATTAAGGTGTGCATTAATTAATCATATTGAGTTCTGTTTGCAGTGACATAAAGCAGGTTGCACCTCAACTATGATAAAAAAAGATAACAATAAACAGAAAAAAAAAACTTTAATAAAGTTACACAAACAGGCTTTGTCATTTTAACCCAGTACGTATCACATGATCAATACCTAATCTTATAGTTGTAACCAAAGAAAAGCATCTATAAGTGGAGTCCTGCCGGCAGCTTCCCAGAAGTCTTCCTCATGCCTCTTCATGTTAGCCCGACAAGTCTGAAGCCGCTACCATTTTAGCGTTATCTGAGGCGTCGTGTTCAGACACCTCCAGTTTACACAGTCTGCCCCAGATGGCACCCCTCAGCTCTGTTTTCTTTAGGCCTGTCATCTACTGTAACGTCTTAATTGACGTTTACCTCGGTTTGCTGCTGTCAGCCACCCGGACTTTGTGTCTGAAGAGCAGCTCGGCAGAACAGTTTCCCAGGCTCCAGCGTTAGGTAGAAAATTACACCTGAGCGCTTGTGTTTGCTTTAGTGTTCTTTTCATTTCATGTCCTTTACAATCTTCACACACATGGGCGGGTGGGAAATGTTGTGAAAAAGAATAGCCTCCTTCACATTTGTTCTGACGTCAGCTTGAGGTGGATTTGAAACCTAAATAAAATGCTTATCCAGTGTTATTTATCAAAGCTAAAGGACAAAGGGACTATGTAAATTTATAAATTAAAGTCATAGCATTTATGAAAAAACAATATTAGCCTCTGCCGGTCATGCCAGAAATTTAAATTAAAATGACTGCTTCCCCACTTCAAAGCGATAGACATCCACACAGTTACTTTAGGGACTTTGATTTAAAAAAAAAAGAGGTAAACTTCATGTCTGCATGCCTGTGAGTTAAGGCCTGCTCGGTGCCGCTGCGTGTTTGTTGAGCACACATGTNATATATATATATATCTGACACATTTATCAAAGTGCCTATGAGACAGCCACACAGAGTTATTCAACTAGAATCTGAGCAAACAGTCAGGTGAAAAACCTCAAACAAATAATACAAAACACAGTGTCAGGTCTGGAACAGTGTAAAGAATACAARTGTTTGTTTAAGCTAATGTATCATTTACTAGAAGGCCATCAGCATCAGTTCCCATCAACAGCATAAACTTCACAGCAACTCATGGCTATCTTCAAATAACAGTCTTTTCCACAAAACTTTATAAAACAATTACTGCCAAGAAATAYTCTCATTATGTCATGATGCCATAAAGGTAAACCAATAGCAAATTTATCAAAAATAAACAAACTCTCTTAACAACTGTTCTAAAGCAAACAATATGCACTTTGATAAATGCTTTGCCCGACCCCGGCAGTACATAGGTCAGGTTTTTCTGATTTTAGTCGCTCATTTTTATACATAGCCCCACCTTATCATTTCAAAATCGATCTTAATTTGTTTRTATGTGGTTTGTTTTCTGCTTTGGTTTGACAAACTGTTGCAAAATTGTGACACGGTCTACTGTGCGTCTACGGGGCTTTGTGACTGTTTTCAATGGTATAATGAAAGTCAATGGAGCACTTGCTTCCTATTTTTCAGCCTTTAAAGACCTCTAAATCCTTAATGGGTAGTCTGATTTTTAAAAAATATAAACAATTTTGGAATCTTTACATAGAACAAATACAAAAGGAAAAATATYTCTAAAATACAGTGTATAAAATAAATAAATAAAATAAGTTTGAAAATTGTATCCCCGTCCCTAACGTACGACAACAGTTACTGATCAGAAATGTTTGGGCCACACCCTCCTTAGCCATTAGCTCTGTGACTGCATTATGTAGCACCATTTCAGATGCAACAATAACYAGAACATATTCTTTCCCATGTTTGCTTTCTTACCGGCTGCCTCTTTGGTGTTCGTAAATGTCTCTCAGTTTTGCACAGATTCACCCGTGTTTGGTTGGCACCATCCATAGAACTCCTCTTCTTCTTTGATGTTTTTGGCAGTTGGCAAAAAAACTGGTGCATTATCGCCACCCACTGGTATGGAGGGTGGACCAGTTGTCACTCAAGGATTAAATTCTATTATATAACTGTGTTAATTTAAGATAATGAAATATTACCTGACACATTTTACTCCCACAGAACTCAAGTTGTACATCATCTTTCTAGTTCCTGTGTCATCAGGTTTTCACAGATTACCCTCTTGCTTCCTAGCTTGACTTAACAATGAGTAACGGCCAAACTTGGCAAATGAAATAAAACAGGGTGAGAATATAAAAGATGGGTCCAAAATTAGAGAATATGTTTTGGATGATGCCGAAATTAGCCCAATATCTGTCAAATTGATCGAGTTAAACTAAATTTTTGTGTTGACAATAGTTGTGGAGAGCATCTTGAAATTGGAATGGGTCATCACTCTAGATCAGGGGTGTCAAACTCATTTTCACCAAGGACCACATGAGCATCATGGTGGCCCTCAAAGGGCCAGTTGTAATTTACTTTGATGTTTCATGTTTACCTTCAACTAAAAAGGAAACGTCATGTTCCTCGTCTCATTGTTATGGCTGAGCTCTTCTAACAAACCATAACTGAGCTCTACGTGGTGTTTCCTGCATAGAAACAGTGTTTTAACACATCCTCTTATAAACACTGTGTGACTGACTAAATGTGAAATAAATAATACAGAAATATTATGAGTGAAAGTATCGGAGTTTTACTCATTGATTAGTTGTGGTGAGTAGCAGCCATCTTAAATTCTGAAATCTCCCACTTTCTAACAGGGAATTCCCACTGGAGGGGCATTCCAGTTTAAATGTACGACTTGTAAGTGGGAAGTTCCCATTTCACAGCACAAATATGCAGCAGAAGTAGCTAACAAAAAACAACAGCTAAATGTAAAGTTTACTTGACCAACTGCAGGCTATTTTTGAACCCTGTGCAGTGCCGCCTAATGTAGTGGTGGGATGTTGTAATTTGGCAGGTAAAATAATCATGTATTACGGGAGGTATAGTTTATGGTCAATGCTGGCTTTAAAGTATCATATGCTTATTTTAAAGCCGTTAATACATCTTTGATGTTCTCGGGGCCACATACTGTAAAATGTTGCAGAGGGCCACATTTGGCCTGCGGGCCTTGATTTTGACATGTGCTCTAGATTGACATCCAGTGAATACTTTCTGAAAGTTTCATTAAAATACGGTATGTCCCTTGGTCAATTAATGAGATATTTTGCTAATTTTATGGACAAATTAACACACATGACATTGCCCTATAGTTTTCAGCAGAAGACAAAAAAAGTTTTTTCTTTTATTCAAATTATATGAAAGAAGAGAAATGTGCACAGAGCTCTATGTGCTGCTCTCTACAGAGTCAGGAATAATCCTAATCTGCTTCTCTGAGACTGAACCTTTCTGCTGTCTGCCTCGGAGCAATCACGCAAAACGCACCGTTGTGGAAATAGACAACGCATTTTCAAATTTCAGTTCAAAGTGCACCGTTTTAAGGGTAGAAATAAAAGCCAGAATGTCTGTAGAGTTAATGTCACACTCTGCAGATTGAGTCAACGTTCCAGCTGTACAAACAACATCTTTGAGAAAAAGAAAAATAAAGAGCAATATTCTCAAAGAAGTCAAGTAAAGAAGAAGCATAATATTGCACTTTATATTCACCTAATGCCACATTCATTTTAATTCTAGAGATCAAACAAACAGTGATTCCTAAACAAAATCTCAGCGCTTTCATGTTGTGTGGTTATGAAGGAATCGCTGAGGAAATTTGGGCGCACACAAGATTTCAGTTATACAAAGTCAACTCTTTCTGTTTTCTCAACATTGTTTGAGGATTGGCCTTTCTTTTTAGTAGCTTGACTTCAAATATATGCTGAAGCGATTACCACACAGCTGGAACTTGTGAATGAACTTATGAGGAATGCAAGGTATTTAACTTAAATGTATCCAGGAGTAATCCTCCTAAGCGTTTAAGTTGGCAATGATGACTTGACTGCAGTTTATCTTTACCGAAGGAAGCAGAAAGTTTTCGGCCATCTGTAACTCTAAAAAGAGATGCGAGTGTGTGAGCAGCCTTACAGCCCAGCTTCACTTTCATTTACCTGATTTACTGTTTGTAGAAACAAAGCAGTTTTATCTGGAATTGCAGAGCAACAATGTGGCATTACAGAAACGTGCAGAAAACGTGACAAAAATAGGGCGTCGTTTTGCAATTCATAATACTGAATGTAAAAGAGTTTACATTTTTATACAAGGCATCAGGAGTAAGAAAATACTGAAAGAATCCTGATTTTCTGAAAATACCATACCATACCATACCATACCATACCATACCATACCATACCATACCATACCATACCATACCATA